ATGCAGTTGGTTGGCGCGCTAAAATTTTGCCGTTTCAGCGTGCGTATATACCCCTAGAAAATGGAGCAGTGGAAATATAGGTGAAAAAGAGGAAAATGAAGGGAAATATAGGGAAATTTTGCGGTTTCATGGTAGTTATATACCCCCCCCCCTCCGCTCGACGGTTAGTTTGGGCTGTGTCGACTGGTCTCAGATCGAATAGAGCCCCATGATGGCGATGGCAGGCGAGGGTGGTGAAGGGTTGACCCTGAGGGGGGGGGGTCGTATCGAGGCCCTCTAGAAGGGGGAGGGGGTCGTAAAATTTTCGAAATCGGTCCAACGTGACGGTTGACCCTGCCACGGACGGATTTTGATGACGCCATTGATCGTCATAGGCTAATCAAACCCTTCGCGCGCTGGTGGGTGTGGTTGGGACCCCTTCCAACACCATTTCACTGCTGGAACCCAATGCCGTCATGAAAACTCCTTCACTCCACAGCCTTCGCACAACTGCCCTTAGCGATAACGAGTGCAAAAGTGGTGATGATAGATAAACGCCCTACTTCCTCGCTTAAATTAGGCCGACCTGCTTGCAACCACCCGCAGAATGTACAGGGTGGCCGAAAAGTATAGGACGCCATGTTTTTGTGTGTAAAAGCCAAGAAAGAGACTCGATCAGGAAACCGACTTCACACAAAGATAGAGTTAAGCTATTTGATCACTTGTGCAGAAGGTGCTTTGAATTTGACGACTCTGCTTTGAGAGAGGCCTTCTGACGTCCAACGACAAAATCAGCAGTGCGCCGCAGGTAGCCAACGGCGATGTCGTCCCACCTCTTCTGAAGCGCTAACTTCAGAGCACCCACCGAGCTGGAGAAGTCTTATGAGGTCTTGCTCTACAACATCCTCACATAGAGGAGTCCATCGGGTTAAGGGCCTGAGAGGAAGAAGGTCACAATTCCTTGCTCCAGTGGCCCGGGAAGTGAGCGCCCAGGATGGCTTTGGTCGCGTATTAGGGATCTCATCTTCATGAAAAAGCAACAACTTTCAGCAAAATGCTTGCGTAGATCGACATTACGTTACTCGTCAAGGTCTTTTGGCAAGACGGCCTAGTAATTTTAAACATTTCTGGAAGATGCGTCTGATGGATCTGCCTTTTGGAAATGTGACCCTCCAAACGACTTACTCCAGAAGTCGGTTGTAAACTGGATATCTCGAGACTTGTCTCATTTTTTGGACACTGCTCTGGCTTTGGTGGGCGCAAAAGTTGCGTCTCGAAAATTTCCTCAGAGAGACGCGGCGCACGTCGGCCCGTGAGCTTTTTGCATTTTATCAGCTGGCGTCTATTCGGGTTGCTCAAATAATAACAGATAGAAAGTGGTAATCCCTTCATAATGATTGACCTCCCATATGTTGCTGAAGGGACGGCAGATCCTTGGAGATCAGGGGATTGATACGCTGGCTTCTCGTTGTGAGCTTCTCTTCTGGGTGGACTGCGCCCAATCCTTGTTGCCGCCCATTTTTGGAGTTCCAGTTTTTGCCATTCGAGAGTTTGCTTGAACCGTTGAGATGCACGAACGTGTTTCAAAGAGTTCAAGAGAGATACGAGTCGCTTTCAAGTTACATTTCAAGGCCATATTGTGGCCGCCACTTGCCGTTACTGGTGTCAATCAATATATCTTCATGGATGAGAGTTCAGCTGATGAACTTTGCAACACAACTTATGAGGCTCAGTTTCAAAACATTCGAAGAGTCTCGAACACTCTGCAAATTCTCATGCTCAAGTGCCAGCAAGCTGTCAAGGCGCCCGGTCCTATAATTTCGGTCACTGTTATGCAGGTGTGAAAGTGGGTGCTTTGAGAGCAGTGGTAGTGGGTAGCGATGTCACTGGCGAGCTTTTTCGCAGTCCCACCCGTTTCTGCTAGGACTCAGGCGGAGTCTATACTCGCGGGGCATGAAGGAGGCGATGGGAAGCCCCTGATTTTCATACAACTTATTATTGAAAACTGCAAGAGTCGTCACACTATGCTTCGTGAACCAATAGTTTTTGGAATTTATGCAGTGGTTTGAGTTCACATTGTTAACTGCTAGGATAATCTCGCAAAAACCTACATTCATTTGACACGGAAGTCAGTCTTTGGATTACTAGTGAGTGATCGCTCTCTTAGTTGAAAGTTGCCTCGACAGCCTACACCTCTTTAACGGGCATCTGTAGAATCTGTTATCAATAGTTCAGGTACATAATTGAGTAGTACCGAACAAGATCAGGCATATAAAGGATAGAAGATCGAAGGGAAAAGCTTTCGGCGTTGATCAATCTCTTCTGAGATACGACCACGCATTCTACTTCTATTCAGAATCATAGGAGCACTTTGATGCGATTTGTCCTACACAATTACTTGTGGAGGGAGGTGATACGGGTGTCCCCCAACAGGCCCACCGCGCGGCGAAGCAAGAGACGCAGATGCGGCAAAGAGACGAGTTGCAGCGCGTGCTGTGCGATATGAGACGTAGTATGGTACACTCTCTTTAACCTGACGCCTAACCGCTACAGTATGCGCTGCGACTCGTCCCTTTGCCGCGTCTGCGTCTCTTGCTTCGCCGCGCGGTGGGCCTGTTGGGGGACACCCGCGATACTAGGTCTGTTGGCTTTACCTGTGGGGAAGCTGTTGGGAAGGGTGATGATGTTTTGTCTTGATTGTGGTAGAAACCACTATAGAATCATGTTGGGCCACAAGTACCACCTATTCATGCTATTTTCGGGAGCCATCAGGTGCGACCGAGAATACGATGTGAAGTTCGCAGGCTAGCCGAGCTCTACTAGACTCACTTCTCGTCACTCTATTCCTTAGTCAGACAATCTGACTCAAGTCTTTTGTGGCTACGTAGACTCCGTCAAGAGCCATGGCGCTTTATAGTCCTGTGCGATGGACGGTGCCATGGGGAATAGACTATATGATTTCCCCTCATGGTTCCTGTCACGGTGGGCTGGACGCTCGGCGATTATGGGACGGGGACAAAAGCGCCTGAGATTAAGGTGTGGAAGGAGAGGGGCCGGCGAGGACAGCGAGAGGGAGGTTTAAATGGGCTGAGGTTTCAAGTTAGTTCGTCGACCCCCTGCATGTTGTGAACGTGGGGCAGATTTCCTTCTTAGGATGGGAGCGGAACAGTAAACGGAGGTGGAGGACTCTATCGTCGTTATATGAGGCTTCAAGTACCAAAGAGCCGAGGCTAGCTGCGTTCACATGGCGAAAACTCGAGGCAATGATGCGATCACATCTCCGGCCATCAACTTCTTCGATTTGCAACACTCAGTTGTTTCTGTGATGTACCCATTGAGGCTGAGCAGTAGCAGAGAGCTCTTGGTTGTTTACAGTTAGCATACCAGAATAATTAGTCAGAATGAAGCTGTAGCATCATGGGGGGAATATATGGATCTTAGGTGGCAGGAGTAGAACTGCGTGGACGTGCTGAAGGGAGTATGCGAAGTATGGTGACGGTCTTGACCTCTGTTAACACGAACAAACCTTTGGCTCGGCCGTGAAGTTAACAATATATGAATGACAATGTTGGAAGCTTCAAGAGAGGGGATTCTCAAAACAAATCAATATTGTTTTTTTGCAGAGTGGCAGAGAAGTACTTCCAAAGCACGGCGTATGGAATTCGAACAAAGTTGTGCGGGATAAATCATAAAGAAGAGCACATAGATGCCAGGTTGGTTACATGTCAGTTCGTGGTTGACACTTTACCGTTTCCCATTTTTACCTCCTTCCGAATCCGCCATTTCTCCTATCGAGGAATATGAAGGAAAGTCCTGATTGAACTTACAGACCCTGTTAGTTACGGCACGATCTGTGCGTCGTGGTAATCGTCAAAGCTGATAGCGGTGGATAAGGCGCAGGGTTAAACGTGTGTTGTACCAATTTCATTTCATGACACCCTTCTCTTTACGGGTCTCAAAAATACAACCCACCCCCCATCAACCTGCAGCTTTAGGAGACTACCAATACGCCCCCCTTCTCCCCGACATCCCGTTTACATCATGACTGGTTTTATGATCATTTGATCTGGAGACGAGTCGATACTGCCCAACTTTTCCCGTTTTTCTCTCTCCAAAACCAGCCGCCAACACGGGAGGTGGGTAATATCAAGGACGGCATCTTGGTTTTCGTCTCATTTTATTGAACCTTTCTTCGACTTGCCGTACTTCATAATAGTTTCCTTCAATTGTCATCAAAAAGGCACATGACCACTCGCTGCAACTTGCCACGACCCTTCACCAAAAAACGACAACTAATTCTGGGCGTGAATCGGGTAGCAAAAGCATAATACGACCCATCCAATCATAGGCTCAGATACGATCCTCGGGGAGAACTGCGCAACGGACGGTTGACCCTGCTAGGGAGTCCTACTTATGGGTTTTATGAGACGGTTGTAAAATTTCCAAAGGAGGTGGTGATCGTGAAAGGGAAGGGGTCGTTTTTTTAATGAGGATAGTTTTTTACGAAAAAAAGTGGGTAGAACGGACAAAACTGTGAACAGTTTTAGCATTTGTTTGCGACGAACTTTTGGAGTTTTGGAGCTGCAGCTCATGACAGTAGGTTCCATGAAACTGTCAATTCCTGGAGCTGATGGAGAGGATGAGGAAAGGGGGTGACGAGTAGGAGCCTTCCAGTTTCCAAAACTTTCCGGAGTTACGTTGACCCTAATCTTGAGCGGTTCCTCAGTAGAACCCTTGAATCGAGGCGTTTATAAATAGAATCTGCATGAGAACTTGTAAAAAAATAGCATTTATTAGATTCTAGCACATCACATCACGCTGCTTCATAGATATCCTGTGAAAAAGGTCGCATAACTTACAACTGTTGGGTAAAAAAGAAGAAATGATTGCCTTTACATACACATAACGTAGCGAAGCTGCCGAGCAATGACGCACGGATTGGTAAGCAACAGCAAACAACATTGTACAACATTATATTATTATAATGGTGATAACAAGTTCATAGATAAACCGCAATAAATTTAACTTTGGAAGAGAGCATGAACGAACTGCTCGTAGTCGAGACCTCCTTGGATTGAGCGACCAGAAATCGCATCCGTGTACGGCTTCATCCTCTTGATGCAGTACTCGGCTTGTTCCGTGGTGAGGTTCTGAAACCATTCGAGCTTACCAGCTAGCCAGAATCGACAAATTACACATGAAGCACAAAAAGTTCGCCACTAACCGCGTAAAGCTCCTCGGCAGTAACATATGGACGGAATTCCTTGGACAGTGCACGGAACGCCATCTCAATCTCCTCGGATGACTGGATGTTCTCGGTTTCTTTGCTGATCATAAACGCCATATACTCTTGCAAGGTCACGTAGCCATCACGGTTCGGATCAACAATATCGAGGATGCGATTAAATTCTGGCTCTGGCTGGCCCTCATCCACCATCGGAAGATCGTAGCCAAGCGCTCGCAGGCAACTCTTGAATTGCTGGTGATCCAAACGTCCACATTTCTCCTGAATTATCACACGCATGGATTATCCAATCAATAACACTATCAACTTCAAGCGAAACGAGTCACCGAAATGACATCACCAACCTTGTCAAAGTGCTTGAACATCATCGAGAACTCGCGCAACGCCTCTTCCGTCACACCAGATTGATTGCGGGCTTGTATTTGCTGTTCCAAATTATGCTGCATTCGCATAGCAAGCTGATCGAGTTGGTCCCAAGCTTGGGCCAGGCCCACTGTCGAATGTTCAGTGTATCTTAAAAACGAATCATTCTTCATACTAACAAAAGATGAACAGATGAATATATGAAATATATGAATCAAAGGGCTCACAAATTGCAAACGAACAAGCTCATAAGCACTCCAGTTAGGGATGCAAAGAAATTTGCAACCTCCGATAGGTGAAACGGCAAATTTTTCAAAATATAAAAAAGCATGAATGATTCAAACGGCAAATATTTCGAAGTCGGAGAAAGTACAAGCGTTGTGTCACATGGCTGGAGCAGCAGTAAACACAACGCTGAGGGAGGCAGGGCCTGGGGGACTCCTCTTTTGAGCTGTACCCAAAACAGCGCGACAGCTGCTCCATACGAGTAAGTCAATGAACGATTACGCCCTAATCCATTGAAAATTGATAAAAAAAAACCGTTTCGGAATCTCTCAAGATTACAATTTTTTCCACGGCACTACTGAATTTCTTTGTAAAAAATAATTGAAATCAAATGATTGCTCACAGTACCTTAAATAACGAAGGAACCCAAAAAACATCGATCACTTTACCTATTGTCCAGAATCAAATTCCTCTCCAACATAGCACCTTGTTCTTCAATCTTTCGCAATTGTGTTTTGTTCGCTCGAATTTCGCCAGCTTTCCGTTTCAACACTTCAAGCTGTTCTTCAAGGGATCCACTCGCTTCCATCATTTCCTTAATACATGACAACTCTCAAACTCTGTAGCGTACACCTTACACCTTGCTCGATACCTGCCGGGTTTGCGTCAACCAATTATGGAAGACATTGGCGAGTTTGGCAAAGTCTCGGCGCAATCGGTCATTCTCCTCCTGGCGGGCATTTTCCTTCTGCAGCTCAACTTCACGGTCCTATAGAGATGTGTTTTAAGGGTCAGGTAAACAGGAAGAAAGGCAGAGCCGAAAACAACGTCTCAGAAATACCTTGATTATCCTTTGCAAGTTGCGCCATGTATCCTCTAGGGCATCCATAGTGAACCACGTGTATGGATTAGGTCCAACGTTGAAAGACTTGATTTGCCTATCTAAAGCTTGGAGTTGTCGGAAATCCTCTTCGGCCGAGCTCAACGAACGCTGCAAGAAAGGTCGTTAAACATCGTTAAACACTTTGTCGTCATCTAGTCAGCCAACTAAAAATAGCCCTATGGACTTACCTGGAACTCAGCATGTGCCTCGCGCAGGGCACGAATCTCTTCAAGTGAATTGCATCTAACTGGATCCGTCAAATCCTCCTCAGCATTTTCGAACCAGGAATTGAAGGTCGATGCCTTCTTGGCAAAAGCCAAGTACAATTCCTGAACAGTGTAATAGATTTTACGCCAAAAGTAGCTAAAAACAAACAACATTATGGATTGTCCCGAACCTCGATCTGTTTGTATTGATCCTGCATCTTGAGCAATTTCTGACGACGTCCCTCCGAATGAGCCAGAAGTTGTTGCCATCGGGTGATGACATTGGCGTGACGTTTCTGGATAGCTGGTGACTGATGATGGGAGCTGCTAACCAGCTGGTCTTTCAGTTCCGTGATCCTGTAAGAACCCCAGGGTAACAACGTTTACTAACCTATCAAGAGAATGAGAAAAAGAATAATACCTCTGGATTCCTTCGTGCTCAAATGCGTTCAGACCAGCATCAAATGCCTCCTGCTTCGTCAGCAGAATCTGTACCGATGACAGGTCTCGCCCGTAGTCATCAGAGCGCACTTGCTGTTCCTTTTCGGCTAAACAATGCATTTTGTACACTAATTTACACAGAAAACAGCAAAACGCATACCAATCCAGCTTTCCACAACATCACATTTCCACATGAATTGCAAGTAAGCGGAGTTATCACGAAGTTTCTGCAGTCGTCGAGCGGCCATGTCCTGGATATCATGGAGGCGCTTCAGCAGCTGGTCACAACGGTCCTTGATGCGAGGGCCATGATGATTTCCGGAGTCAATAAGCTACAATTGTAAAAATTCGTTGTCATTTTTCGTCTTCTTGGTTTACGATGGTCTGTACCTGTTTGCCTTGGCGAATCAGATCATCAACTCGTTGCTTGTGTAGTTGAAGGTCCACTTCAAATGTGTCGTGCTTCTTGAGAAGACCTTGCACACCGGCCATATTATCGCCATAGTTATCCGAACCTACAGAAGTAATGCACCATTGATTGATAGAATGTTTTTTAAGGGGACTAAGCTTACCAAGAATTGTTTGCTTCTCGTTCATCCATGCTTCCTCTTCTTCAATCTTGCCCAAGAACTCTTGGAATTCTTCAGACTCGCTCAGCTTCTGATGGCTAAAACGATACGTCAACTGAGTAAACATATGACAAGAAAAATGACATAAAAGCAAGTTTGAGCAAACCCATGTGCCACTATAACCGTAAGAACTACTTACCGGCTACCAGTGAGGTCACGAATCTGTCCAGTGCGCTCCATCTGCTTCTTTTTGTATTCATCTCCACGATCTGACGAGCGTAAAAGTTCTTCACCCTTCAGACGAACTTGAGAAACCTAAACAGAGAAGATAATTTCCAGGATATAACTCTGCCGACAAAAGGACATACCAGAGGTTCGTGGCTCGCCAATTCGGTATCAAGGCGACGATGCTTACGACGAAGATTTTGTACCCCAGGAAGATCACGACCATGTCGTCTGATGAGACAAGAAGCTTCTTTTCCCTAAAATGTTGATCGTAAAATTATAGATTTCTAAGTAGGTTTAGTCTTATTTTGATCTCACTTGATCCATGACTCCTCATCATCGATGTCACGGAAGAACTGGTGCACATTCAGGGCTTTGTTGAGCTTGTCACGGCGATCATTTGCATCTCTTCACACGTGCATAGCGATCAGCAATCGACCTACACAGTGGACTTCGAAACTAGTTACTAACACCTGAATGATGACAAGCCCCTATCCTTGCGCGCTCGGCGATCTGCTGACCAGCGAAACTGATCTCTTTCAAGGAGAGAATCCGCTTGCTGATTCATCTCCTGGACACGATCCTGGTGGGCAATAATGTCTGCTTCTAGAAGCTGATGCTTCTTCAGGAGATTTTCGATAGATGCCAGATCCTGAATCGCCTTCCGTTCAACGAATCTCATATGCGAATTATAAACGCTTTACTTTCATGAGTAGGCCGGCTGCAGAAGAATAAGATTTCTACCTCACAAGCCAGAACTCAGATCCGTTGATGGCAGCCATGAAGCTTTTTGCTTATTAGCTCTTTGGTTCTAAACGAGTACTTCATGTAGACTGATCGAAAACGGCCGTGGAGTTCGTCTACTGTAATCTTTTCGGTGGTGTCTTCACGAGGAGCTTCCCATGATATTCAATGGCCTTCGAGGCGAGCGCTGACGGCATCCTCTCTCCAGCGCCCTTTGCGCATTTTGAGATGCGGCGGCAGTGTAAGAGTGCGATTCGTTCAGCATTGGCAGGCCATGTCGGCTTTCGAATGCTGTTGGTTTTGGTCGTGTTTCTGCTGGATAGTGTTGGATCACGGTAGTTCTCCTCTTGGACTATAGCATGCAGTCATGAATTCCGTTTTGAAGAATTGTGGTCAACGGTCAAGACTTTATTTGTTTAGGAGTAGTGGGACGGACAACATCAATATTGGAAATATATAGCTATCCAGTTCTCAGATGCGCATGCCGCGGTCACGAGCTGATTGCTCTGCAATGTCGGGCTGTTCTCCAGCTGTGCTTCTTTTCAATGAGAGCAGACTTCAGACGCTCCCATCTGGAATCAGTACATATATTCAGACGTTAAAGTGGGTCAGCGAAGAAGCCAACGATGCCAAGCTAACTCCTTACCTATCCAGAATCATGTCGCGCTTACGAGCTACGGCATCTTTGTCGTAATGATTGCTGTTGATGAGCTGATTGGCGAATTGCTGTAAAGGTTAAACTTGAAGAGAATTCTATGTGAAGGCTGGTTGTCACTTACCTGCAATCCAGCAATCTTCTCCTGCTGACTGTTGATCGCCTTGTCGAAATCTTCATGCTTCTTAATCAGCGACTCGGCGTTGTCACCAGTTGGATCTTCCTGGGCTAAGAAGTTCTCCCTAGCGACCATCAAGTGGTTCAGCTAATATGGTTATGGGTTCCAAGCTAACTATCGAATTTGTCCATGGCTCATATTATGCATTTCGACTGTTCCAGTCTCTGTAGAAAGCTGCCCAGTTCGAGATCATGGCGGAGTATATTGCGGTACGGCACCGGCATCTTCGGAGTCACTCCTTTGACGAGCTGCATGACGTTAAGCGAAAATAATTCATTTATTTAGGGTAGAAAGTAGAGGAGTAAATAAAATGACATCGTTCAATACGATTCGCGATATCCTCGCAGCATTATGATTGTTGTGAGAAGTGATTACCGATGCTCGAAGGCATGGAACGTGCAGCACGAGAATCGATCTCAGTACGATACTCCTGATGTCTTTCAAGAAGCGCTTCCGCACCTGCAATTAGAGAACATTTTTTAGCTACAATAACAATGGCTGAATAGTAAAATTTCACCTGTGACATCATTTGCAAGCTCTTGGCTGCTCACAGGGGTTCTGGCGATATCCACTGCTCGGTCACGATATCAGACAGGATCTATATTAGTCATACGATCAGCAATTTCTCCTTGCGATTGTTGGCTTTGGCGGTAAGCCTGGAAGGTGAATTCTTCCAAAGGCAGTGGCAGGGGAAACCTTCGAACAAACCTATTCCACTGCTCATTGAGCTCACGCTGCAAATCGTAGATCTGTTCAGCGGCTTCAGGATGACTTTGACGTCAGGCGGTTGGCCTGAGGAGGAAAACATTTGTATTTGAGCACTTATGATAAGGATACAGCAAAAAAAGTGCACATACCTTCTCATCGAGACTCTTGATTTTGTCACCGAGAGCAGCAAGATCTCTCTCAACACCCTCGCGTTTACGCTGGAGGGCTTGAACGGAGCGGAGATCACGACCAAAGTCATCCGAATCGAGAGCGTCGTCCTTCTCCTGGATCCAGTCTCTGGTCTCATCGACATCGCGATGGAAGCGCTGTACTTCATGAGCAGAACCAAGCTGCTGCTCACGTTGGCTCGCGTCTGCCCCTCTCGAGAGCACGCCATCTTAAGACAATTTCAATCAGACTGACAAAAAGGAGCAACTTCAATTCTACCATACCTAGCGTTAAGATCTTCAATCTGCTGGCGAATACGAACAGCAGTCTCCGTTTGACCAACAGAGGTGAGTGCAGTTGCTAAAATGGAACAGAATTTCAACAATTGACAAATAGAACGAAAGACTGATACAAAACGATTCTATACGTCGTTTACAAGGTATTTTTTCTCTTAATTAATCATGAAATGTATAGCTTACCAATCTGGTTCATCTCTTGCAGGCGAACCTCATTCGCCTTGAGATCGCCTTTGAAATCATCGAATTTCTTCTGTAGCACCTCCACTTGCTCCAAGTCGGTACCAATTTCTTGTTGAGCTGCAACTGCCTCCTAAAACGTCACCCGACTGATCACTGACACTGGAACCACACACATACGCTCTCAACCTCAAACAATCGACGAACAGCATCGCCTCACGAGGTAAAGAATATTCATAAAAAAAGAAGTCTTTGGGTAACGAACGATTCACAAGCAGGTCACATCACGGTTTGTGCTTTACTCTACGAACGACAACATCAAGAAGTTGTTAAAATACGATAGAGAAGTACACAGCTGGGTAAGTATATACTCTGCAGTCATTGCAACCTCATAACTCAGCACGGGTGTTTCTGTTGAGGGTATCACAAAAAGTAAGCAATTGTTCGATGTACAAACACAAAGCAAAGCAAAGTGTAGATAAACTTACTTCCGCCATGTACGTCTAAACAACGATGGAAACATAAGAATAACTTAGCTTTCAAAGATGCAATACACTGTTTAATGTAAAGATTTACATCTATGTGATCAGGCAATCATTTTACAGAAATGTGAATCTTTCTTTTAGCAAACTTAGGTTCTAAACTATCATGCGGTCGTTCTCAGCTGACATTCAAATCAAAATTGTCATGAAACAGAAAATGTGCGCGTAAGAAAAACATTATTGTGGTAAAAATTTCAACACTTACACGGCTCTTGATCCATTCAGCAAGGTCATTCGCTTCTCTGAGAAGTTGATATCCTTTGCACGCTTCTTCAAGCTTTCTAAAAAAATTAATTTATAACTATCAGCTTGTCACTATCACGGAAGACCCAATGTAGCTTATTCTCATGAAGAAAGGTTTGTGATAGCAACTCATTTTGGAGTAACACTTGTTTATAACACGTCTCTTGGAGAGAATTTAAAGGTTCCCGTGTCCTTTTTTATTCAAAAGCTCAAGAGAGTCTGCCATACAGACTTAGCAACATTGGCGCAGCATCAAAACCATCCAAAATCACATAAGCGATTGATTTTTTCAAAGCCTTCACCATGTGTGCACTAGCCACGTGAGCGGAACTTCTGCAGAACGATAGTAGCGCACGTGGCAGACCTCGAAATGAAAATTTCAGTGTTTTGGACGCCACTGACTACTTATTCCGCGCCTGTATTGCTGCATTGCAGACTTATCTGGGTCTAGGAAACAAAGGATAAATTAAACGTCATTGTGGCAGAATCATCCGCTCGAGTCGTAAATTCACGTAAAAGGTACCGTAACGTGCCAAGATAGATGCGAAATCGTATCACCCTACCTCTTGCGTGTCTCTCCAAGCATCATCAGACGTTGATATTTGTCCTCAATTTCATTCTGCTTTCCACCGATCGAGTTAACCTTGAAATAAAATGAGCAATGTCTCATTAATACTCGTATATGGAACCTAAATCTTACCTGTTAGCTGCGTCTTGCTGGTGAGGCGGGTTGGCTCGCCATACCGTTTCAATACGCAGCCTGGCACATCAAGCTTGACCATCACTTCACTATCCTATAAAATGGGATTTTGGTTAAGAAACTTGCAGGCAAAGGGAATTTCTTAGCGAATCGGTGTGGCAAATTTACATGTGGCTCCACAGCTAAGCGCTTTTCTTATAATCGAAACGCTTACCTTCCACCAATCTTTGTTTGAGGCGTTCAAAAGAGTGAGGACGTCGCCCTTCTTCATGGACACCTCACGAGGAGATTTCTCCTGATAATCATACAGCGCAAGGACACAATCACGACCTGAATATCTCAAGCATTACCAGTGACGTTAGGCGGCCACATAATCGTAATGAATACCACCAGGAAACCTACCAAGTTGTCAACTGCGCTGTCCTGATATTTGCACTGGGCTGCCTGCTTTCTCAGCTCATCGATGGTTCCTTTGAACGCATCTAAATCTGACATCAAGGCACGGTGTTTCTTTGAGAGAGCCTCCGCTGAGTCTTCGTCTTTTCCATAGTCAGTGGAGCCAACGACGGGTTCCTTCTCAGCCATCCACGACTCGGCTTCATTTGCATCAGCCAAGTACTGGTGGGCCTGAATTGTGGGATATTATTAAAATTATACATTAAACGTTTTGGGAGGTAAATAGCCTGCCAGCGACTCATGGGGCAAGCTCGGACGTCGCGTTTTTTCAAGCCTTTCGTCTTCAAGGATTCTCCAGTTATCACGAAGTTGACGCGGCGGTTGTCCGAATTTCCGGAGCGAGGAGTGTCCACTGAAGAACAATGCTAGAGGGATTATAATCGATGGCATTCAAGCTCTGATTACCTGTTGGATCATATCTTCAGCTGCCTTGCAGACAGCATCGATTTGGCTTTCGTGGTTAGCGATCTCGGCAATTAGAGCCTGTTGCTTTTTGATGAGATCTGCACACCAATAAGATCACGACCACGGTTGGTGGAACCAGCCACCTAAAGTAATTTGTTAGTGCAAGGTGTCCATAACAATGGGATCATATCAATGGGAATATCCCAACAAAAATAACAATTTTTAAAATTTGTCAAAAATGGTCGGCAAAAAGTGAAATTATCACAGTGGAATACCTGTTCTTTCTCTCTGATCCATGCGAGTTCATCTTCAATGTCTCTGAACAATTGGTTACCCTGGAGCGATTCGGCTAGCTTGTTCTTTTCGTTTTCAGAGGGTCGCGAAGATTCTAAAAGTTATTGATTTATGGAAGAACAACTAATAGCAAGCTTTACAAATACACAAAACGCACAGAAAGAATTGCTCAAATTATCAGAACTATCTTGAACGTCGGTTCGCCTACCTGGAAACGAGTCTGCAAGGCTTCCTGCTTACGGATTATAACTGGAGCGTTGAAGTGTTCATCGTCAGCAAACTTCTTGGCCTTAAATACACCACTTCAATCATCACTTCGAGATGAGAGCTTCAGGCACACAAACCGACGTAATAAAAGTAAGACGAAGCGCACTCACCATAGATTTGATTCTCACACGATCTTGATGGGCAGAAGGTAATCACTTTCGAGGGAGAGCGATCTTTTTCTGGAGATTCTGCACAGATACGAGATCCTTGCCAAAGTCCTCAGACGCAACTTGACCTTCGAGCTCACTGAGCCACAACTCGACATCTTCGATGTTGCGATTTAACTTCGTCATCGCAGCTTCCCGGGTTTAGCCACCTTTTTGTTCGTTCCGGCTGAAAGCTCGTTCCACAGCTCGTCAACGTTTGCAGACGACGGAGCCGACCTGAATGCACAGAGTAATTAAAGGAGTTGGCAATTGAAATTCTAAGAATATGTCATCATCAGATTTCAGGATGTCACTTTCGTAATACGGCAAGTATCTTGATTTCGGTCCAGCCTATTACGATTAGCCTTGAGCTCCTGCTCGAAATTTGTATGCTTCTGGAGCTTCCCACGAATGTTCGTTGGATCGAGGTAGGAGTCGTCCTTAGCGGTCTTCAGCTTCTCTTTGATCCAGCTCTCCATTTCGTCACAATCCCTAGACCATCAGCTATTTAACTTACAAAATCAATTACGTGCATGTATGTAAGAGCTCGAACCGATTGAACGTCTGCTTCTTGTAATTCTCATGAAGCTGACGAGCACTTTCCGGCAGCCGGTCATAGACGACGTTTTTGTCAGAAGGGCATGACGTCTCGCTGGACACTCATACTGCCATAGTCATGCTGACCCTGGAATGTGTGTCTGATACTAGTTCTTTACCTAAGGCATATCGCAAAAATCACCCACCTGAATGAGCTTTGTGGCAAACTCATCAAGCGCATTGATCTTCTCTTCCTGAGCAGCCAGAGACTTTTCGAAGTCTTGATGCTTCTTAATAAGTGACTCAACGGCATCCAGCGAGTCGCCAAGATCTTGGTTGGCTAGGAAAGCTTCCTGAAAGTCGGTATATACGACTAGAACGGGAAAATCTTCGATCCAGGATAAGCCTGCAACGTCACCCAACAGACCTGCTTGTTCATCCACGTCTCAGCCTGTTCGGTATCACGATAGAACAACTGGAGATCCATGCACTGCTCGTACAGAATGCGACGCTCCTCCCAGAGGGCAAGTAGGGCAGCCTTCTCATGAGCTAGGTGTTCCAGCTTTTGACGAACCTGGATGTAGAGCCTTTTCATTAGTAATTGACATGATAATATAACCTCAACAATTTACCTCATCACTTTCCGGGATTCCCATATCGAGAAGACCTTGACCGGAAACAGCCGTCTGGTTGAAGCTGTCTTCACGAGCGTCAATTTCTCCCTATAAAAGTCAACAAATGAATTTTTAACCCCTACAACTGGTCAATCCAAAGGAAAAAAGGTTACCTTATGCTCTTGGTGGCTCTCCAACAAGGCTTCAGCACCAGCAACATCCTTGGCAAGCTCATCAGCCGAGATGACAGCCTTCATGTCGTTGATCCAAGAGCACAGATCTCTGCAACACTGAGGTAAGCTCCGCTAGTACTAAGCGCTATCAGAAAATGTTTACCTGTAATCAGCAAGGAAACGGTGCAACTGTAGGCTACGATCAAGACCCTCTTTACGAGCCTGAGCTTTTCTCTTCAAAGCGTTCCATTGACCTTTAGCTTCGCGCATCTTGGCATCGATAGCATCAGCACGATCAGGATGCGTTTCGGAGAGCCTGGCAGATTCCTGCAATACTTGCCATGACCTATGTGAAACATCACCTTTGCATGATCATCTCTCCCACCTTCTCCAGTTGCTGCATCTTTCCTTCAAGAGCGGCCAGATCTCTTTCTGTGCCCTCATGCTTTCGTTGCAGGGCTTGAACGTTGTTCAGGTCACGGCCATAATCATCACTCGACAGAGTAGCGTCCTAGAAAAATTTCTCTGTGAGCCCCTAGCGTTGGTATAAAGTACGTAAGGCGTATTCGTGACGAAATCTGTTTAGACCAGAGGCTTTCCTGAGTAGAAACTAACCTTCTCCGCGATCCAAGCCAGAGTCTCATCAGCATCGCGATTGAAGCGTTGCACTTGATGGGCTCCAAAGAGACATTCCTTCCTAGTGGCAGCAAGAGTGTTCAGGCGATGCCACGCTTCATTGACCTCATCACGTTTCTGGAATCAAAACACATCTTCTACTAATCATTCTGAAAATGGTGTTAAATGAATTAAAATCAGTAATCGAGCTAACCTTATAAATTTGGTCATGTTCGGTATGTCCGTCTTCTACAAGCTTATCAGCAGCTTGATTAATCTCATTAATACGATAATGATGATTTCCTAGTTCTTTGAGAAAATCTTCGAACTTTCTCTGAAGCACTTCTACGTGCTCCAGATCCATACCCATATCTTCGGCAGTCACATAAGCCTCCTGAAACCGACCCTTCAGGGGATGCAAAAATTTACAATTCCCAAAAAGGTGCTTTCGTTTACCTTGTCTCTAATCCAGTAAAGCAATTCGTCACATTGTCGAATAAATTGAAGTAATTTCAGTGCTTGTTGGAGCTTAATACCCTTGTCCTTTAGTTTGAAGAACAATTTGTCCCATAAGCGTGAAGTTCCTCGAGTCGTTTCTAAAGAGAACAGTAAAAGAAATTGAATATTTGTATTAAAATGGGCGATGAAATGTTGGCTTCATTACCCAAATTGTTGCTAAAGATACGACACCTTGATCACTTCGCTTGCAAAGTGACCATGCTGGATCATTCCATTTCCAGGTCTTATCGAGGTTGCTGATGGTTTTTGCATGCGCCTGAACCTCTGCTTCGAACGCTTCATGTTTTTGGATCTTTGCCTGAAATTTGAACCATGAGGTACATTTGCAATAAGAATCTAGCAGACGAAAGAACTAATAACTTTTGCGGTCTCCCCCTATATCCGGTTTCCCTTCACTCCGGGATCGTAAAACCTTTTTGTTGACATTTCCCTTGGGTTTTGTGAAGAGGAAAGGAATTCCTTTTTTGCAGAAAGCCACCCATTTTAGAAGTGTTCAGGCGCCTATTAAGGGACTGAAAAAACGTTGACAAATCCCGGGCGCCAATCGGACGAGGAGAGGGAGTGGATGGCAAATGATTTGCAGAGTAGTTTCGGTTACAGGAACGTGAGCATTCGGCGACAAGTGGGGACTTTCCAAGAGAAAAAAATTATTCTTCAGATTTAAAGCGTTTCAATGTACAGAAGCAATCTTGAAGACAAGATTTACCTCCGATCCTCAAAAAGGTTACCAAGTATGGTTTACGAGCCCGAGAACTATCTCGCTACATTCATATGCCCTTGTTTATCTTTCTTTAGGTGGCGTTCATACTCAACAATTTAGAAGATTAGGAGATTAGTGAAGGGAGGGGGCAGCTAAAAAGATCACATTCTTATTGATCAAGAGAACAGGAGATGAAGAGTCTCGAACAGATCAATCGATACACATCTAATCTTTTCAGCTGAAACTCCTAATATCCTAATCCCGCGATTCTGATCAATACGTATGGAATCTTTCTAGCCGAATCTCCTCATCTCCTGCCCACTCATTCTATCAACAAATGTGTCTTTTTTATGAGCTCCCCATCACTTAATCTCCCAGACTCGGAGTATGAATGCAACCTTATTGATCAACTCACTAGTGCTGCAATCACCTACGTAAGCTGGGATTTAAAAAATACAGTATGGCACATTTAAACTTAATTTTTAATACGAATCTCCCAAGTATAGATTATATGCAAATGAATGCAAAAAAGTGGATGGGACGTTATTTGAAAACATTTCAAAACGATAACTTTCGCTCAAGACTCATTGTGCACAGTTCATTCCCCGTGACCTAGACTGTCGCAATTACAGAATCAGTGGTACATGTGGCGTGCCCTGTGCTTCATGCGCTTTATGCTATCTGATGCCGCGGATGCCACATGTGATGGTACTTGTGTATTTACGACACACAAGTTTACGGTTAGCCCAGTTTACATGACTATTTTCTTGCTTTGCAAAGCTTATTGACTACAAGCCATCCTTTCCCAGGGTTTCCGTGAAATCCTTTCTGGACCGCCACGCTAAATCAATAGGAGGCAATTCCCTCCGAGCACAAAACGAATTTATTACCCACCCCAACCGGTAGGGCCGGGGTCTGCTAAGCTGAGGTAGCATTAGCGTATGCAGGCTGTCACAGCCCACGTGCGTGCGCCCGATGACTCACCCAGTTCGTACTGATTTTAAATATCATCTACACCCTTCCTATCCTATTCCAATCTCATCAAAATTCCTCGACTCGCTGTATATGGAACATGATCGTTCGTGGCTATTGACAGTCGTCATTCCGTAGCGTTAATCTCCACACGTCAAGGGAAAACCGATCGGAATGTGTCGTTATCGGTCGCCTACGACGAGATTCTATCTGGCCATAAACGCTATTTGTTAAGGCAAACAATTCAATCCATTAACTACTGCCTAAAATATCGAAGACCACATTGACGCATTACCCTCCTTTCTGCAGCAGGAACAGGAGCTTTTTATTAGTGTACTATTGAAGAGTGCCTGGCGAGCAGCGGCCCCATGAGAGCCATATGGGTCCCGCCGGCTTCCTTTATTCAATGCGGACCCTCCGAAAATTTCGCAAGCAGAACACATCGGAATAGCTGTGCTTGGATTAACAAGCTAATAAACTGAGAATTTTCGGATGTGGAGCGGAAAAAGGGAAAACGAGAGCAAAGAACGCGAAAAGAAAGGCTACGAATCGTAAAAACATAAAATGAAACAGAGAAAGAATTGAAAGTGAAATTCCCAATAAAGTGGCTCATTATTCCTTCACCAAACTTCCGAATAGATTGTCATCGGAAAAAATTCAAAACTCCTATAATTTTTTAGGCAAATCGATATGCCTGATCCCCTCTTGATTTTGTCAACCTGCCACTCGATTCACGCGGAGTTACCGGTAAGATAGCATCAGCTCGTCCGATACCTCTAATCACCGCTGGTCAGTGGCATTGACCCCCATCCTCAGACAATCCCTCCGCCCGGAAAGTCACCCGTGTGGACAGCCCCGCCGCCTGCACTGTACACCCTAACGAATTGTCTGTCCTACCTGAAGGTTCGTCGGATCCTTGAATGATTCTTCTTGGGCAGTTTGCAATTTCTCAAGAATCCAAATCTCAAGTTCATCGGCATCACTGGAAAAAAATTGTTTGAAATTGAAGAAAACAGGAAAAGAATCCGACACAAAAAAGAAAACATACCGCTTGAAATACTGGTACTGACGGGCTTCCTCTAGACGATCCCTCTTATTCTTCGCATGCTCTTTGAACTGCGAATAATGACCGAGGACTTCTTGACGTCGATGCTAAAAGAAGACAAATTTCCCTCTCTAATTCTTCCTAGTCTATTCAGAAATGTTGACATGGCCGATTCTGGTCGCGCCTAGTGTGAGAGCGAAACTTTAGCCCTCTCCGAACTCGGACGGACACTCGGCCAAAATCGATAGTGTCAGAATAAAACGGGCCGAGCGAGGCGATTCTTCTCGCAATGCTTTACTAAAATTTGGCTAGGGGAAGCTTAACTGCTAAAAAATGAAATGGAATGAAAAGGTTTACAAAATGAAAACAAAAAATCGGGAATAGACAAATCAGGGAGAAGAAATATTAAAAAATTTGTAACATTCTCGGGATTGAAAAAGAAGCCTTGATCAATCAAATTCACCTGAATATCTTCAGCAGTCTCAAGTATCTTAATTTCTGTTGGAGGAGGAACTTCAAGCACGGGCTCCGGTGGGGCTCCGTCGTCAGACATTGCTACAATTGTGACAATTTAGAAAGTTAATTGGAAAGGAAACGGTAAAGGTAGGTCGAACAATCTACGAAACATACAAGGCGAAATATAGAGCACAATATGAACACGTCTGTACAAACGCGAAATGAAAACTGTTCGATATTGGGTCGCATTTGAATTTAATTTGAATGTAAATTAGTAAAACTAAAAGATTATCGCATTATGCATCTAACAGGGCGATGGTTGGCAGCAGTAGTTGACCTACAAGCGGTAGTCGAAAGACGCGGGACAAGGGAAATCAGCACAAAACTCGTCAGCCCGAGTGAGCCTCACCGCACAAACGACTTTCGCCATTGGAACGCGCGACTAGGACATTTTCTTGCACTCACTTCTCTTGGGTGTTCGCCGAAAGCCCGGGAAGTTCGCCTTTTTCGGAGTAGCCTGCATGTTGACAGAGAGCGTCCTTTAGCCGCACTGCTGGCTATAAAATCACGTCTGAGTGTGCTGCTACACATCAGACCCCTTTCCGAATGAAGGCAAGCCGGAAGCTTCATGTGTCAATCGTTGTGCTCCGACGGGTACTGGAGTAAAAATTGTCCCTCTGCCGGCTTGCTCCACAAAGGAAGGAGAGAGCGTGGTTTCATGATCTGAACTGTTGAGGAGGACAAAGTTGTCGCCACCGGTGATTTTGTTACTCGATGAGCTGGCTTCCAGATCAGTGGCATGCATTGTGGTTGCTCCGAGAAGTGTGAATGGCAGTGTGTGATCAGAATTACTTAAATAAAGTGAAAGGATAATAATAGCATAATAAGACATTTCCATATGATCAATCCGTGTGTCCTCCTGATGGCTAAGGGGGCGGAGCGGCCTTTTTGGAGAATGCAGCGCCAGATTTTGGCTAAAAATAAGCATTCCATTTGTACATCCAGAATGCCGTCGTAAGTGGGCGCGCTTTGATATTGCTGATGTGGCCTCTACAATGACTTGCGGGGGCCAGCCAGATGGTACAAGTCATGTTTCTGTCCCTTATGTCTCCCTCGCGCCACGAAACCAAGGTGGGGTGTGTTACTTGGTAGTCCGCTTGGTTAATCAAACCAGGGTAGAGTCACGTCTGCCCTTCATAGCATTCCGTCCAGCATGTCAGAAATATACACATTAAAATAAATCGAGAAAAAAGATGGACTGGGACGGAGCTTTACCGCAAATTGTAGGAGTTAGTATTAAAGACGCGTCCAAATTGAGCTTACTCATGGAACCGAACGTGTGTTGCACCGCGACAAGTTACGCTATGTGCTTACGGTAATTATTTCTGGTCATGGGGGGTTACGCCAACTGAACGAGTAGGAAGACGGCTGGTGGCAAACGATGACACATAGGAAAATCGCAGTGTTTGCCTTTCGGTATGCATGCCCACCGATAACACAGATAACGTACTTAGTCAGAACGAGTACTCGGAACGTTGAAAAAGTATCATAAGAACATTATATGGAATGGAATTTTTTAAGCATTCTGTTATATAGGGGGGGGGGGACATTTTGGTGGGCAATGATTAGTGGCAACTAGATAATTAAAGTGTTGGATGGGAAATCTGGTAACAATTCTCGTATGTGAAGGAACTAGTGATATTACGCTACCTAGAAGACGATAATGAGTGGAATCTTTCCCGCGGTTTGCAAAAGATCAGTGTACTACACCAAATGTACCTCCTGACTTCAGTGCGCCAAACTTAAAACTGAAATGCACAAGAAAAGGTGAAAATCGGCGGGAATATTCAAATTTGAAGATTGATAACACAATCCTGAACCATGTAATATCGACAGACGAAATAATGTCGATTAAGAAAGAAGTTAATTAAAAAAATTCTAAGCAGTTTCAATGAAGAATTCATTGAGAGGAAGGAATCATTGGTTCATGACAACAAAATTTTTGCTCACTTTTCAAACCATTTCAGGACGTTTTTAAGGAACCCAAAAACTTTCGTGAAACTATAACACAAAGAACAATCACAATAAGTTTACGACATTAGTAAAGAAAAGAAGGAACGACAGGAAAGGAAAGAAAAGGAAAAATGAACGACGTCAGAACTCAAGGAGAAAAGGAATGAAAACAATTTGTAGGCCCATTTACGTGGACTTCGTTGTTGCACTCAATTAGCAGTAAAGTAAAGTAAATAGCAATGAGTTTTGCAAAGCCTGGGAAGGATAATAAAAAGCTGTAGGACAGTAGTCCTTTCAACAGCGCTCACTTCCCTGCAAAGGTAGCGACTTGTGTCCGAATACGGAAACCTGCAGTGTAATTAGTGAGAGTACAACCCGAAATCTGACCAATATTCTCTGGCGGTATACAAAATATCGAGGGCGGGCGCCGGGGATAGCGCTAGCGCGTATTGAGGGTGCAACGGGCGACGATTGATGCACAACACGCAACCGCGAGTGCACCAGACCAGCACACAATTGGCGATCGATATCGCGCGACAAGGGCACGCCGCGCCACGTCGCCGCGCCCGCGAGCAAACAGCCGCGAGCACGACGAGGAACGCCGTCGCACGCGACGTCGCACTCATCGCTGACGAACGCGACAGCCCTCGTTGTGCCCCGTCATTTGGATCGCGGGATCAACTTTTTTCTTCGTCTATTGCCAGAACTACAACAATGAGTCAGCCGCCAAGCGGGTCACTTCGCTCGCTGACGCCAGCTGCCGATGACTGCAGTACAATTCTGGAGGAATAGGATGCTGTAGATGGGGAAACGTTCTGGAAATGCAGCACATCGAGCAGTTGGCCATGTCCTTAGGGGGGGGGGGGGAACAAAAGAGGATGTCTTGCTCATGGAGCACATCAGAGGAGGCCACCGTTGATGGAATCCTATGGCAAGGCGTTCTTGGAATATCTCCCCATGAGCAGACGCAAGCAGGGCCTATCGCCGCTTCCGCCTTTTTTTCAAGAATTTTGCGACTCCCCCCCCTTTAGGGGTAAGGGGGCCTTAGGATGAGGGTTCGGTGCGTCCCCCTCCCCCAATACCATCAGTCGTAGGAGGTTACCCGACTGCGACACCACTCCTCCCTACCTCAATCACCACCCCACCATCATGCCTGTTTCTATAGCATTTGATTCTGAAACCCATTCGCGGAACTCGTCAAAGATCCGTGAAATCCCGCCAAAACAACACTTTTACGCCCCCCCCCCTTAAATATTTCCCAGAGATGGTCAACTGCTCAATCCCAAAATGCGCCCCCCTCGTTCGAATAGTGTGAACGGATGGTTGACCCTGGACGCGAGTGCTTCATTGCCCTCAACTTCGTCAGAATATGTCGACCGCGTCGGAGCTCACAGACCTACCGTATCCACTTTGAAATGCTACCCCAGTCTTCGATCGATCCTGGATGGATATTTCTTATTGTTAGAACCTAGTTGGCATGGCGATCTCCGGCCCGGCTCTGTAACGTCCCTAATAAGTACCCAAACTGTCGCGTAAGCTCAAACCTCTGCCACCACGTTCGGGGGCAGGTTGTTTCTATGTACCTAGCGGAAATGGGGATTATGCTCAGCTTCAAATGCGCGGGAGACGCTTTTGGTCTGACCGAAGATTAGACACTCAGGGAAAGGGACGTTGTGGTGTAGCTATTGAATGGGTGTGGCGGGGGGCCGACTGTTTCGAGTAACTTCAAATTTTGGAGGAGGGGAGGGGCGGGGGTGGGGAATGTTTCAGTGAACTAATTTTGGGCAGGGGGTTGCTGAACGAGATTCTCTTGCACCGATTAAAAACGTAGGATTAAATGCTAGTTCTTCTAATTTTACGGGAATTTAGAAGCTTTCGTGATGTTGAGAACCTTGGATATTTTGCCACCAACGCCCGCCCCCTTCCAGGGCCTTCCCATTATCCGGTGTATGTGGCCAACCTACGGTTGGCTACGTATGTAGTTTCTTTTGGGTGATAGAGGAAACGGCCCGGGTAGCTAAGGCTGGAGTCACGATCAGGGATTTTTCCAAAAGGGGTCGTGTTTGCTTTGGTGGCGGGAGGATGGTCGCACTTTATTTTATATTATTTTTCCTGGAAAAAGGGGTCAGAGTATTGGTTTGTGTCCCCGCTTCTACATTATTTGGGCACAGTGATAATACCATGTCGGAACAAAAGGAGTATTTGACTTTTAGCAGTAAGATCAAAATATACCCCACCCTTCCATTCCACCTCCATTTCGAGTTTTTTTTTGGGGTTGTCGGGTTGAAAGCGTGTCAGATGAACCGTGGTGAAATCAGTGTTCCGAATTTCACATTTCGAGGCGCGAGGGGGTAGATTCATGGGGGAGAGTGAGGAGGTTTGCATGTCGGAGCAGAACATCGGGGTACTCACCCTAACCCGCTTTTTCGCTCGCACGATTTGTAAAATCAACTCGCGGTGTAAATTCATTTAAACCCTCAAACTTCTTACGATCCGGGCAGAAGCTAAGTTGTACTGCTCTGTTGATCGCCTCCTATCTGTGCTTTTCTAAGGACAAAAATGAGTGAGTGAATTACGCGAGTGAACCAACTTCGAGGACACCTCCATAAGCGCGAGAGGGTCGTATTCGGTTCTGGCAAAGGGATGGTAGTGGTTTAACCGACAGAACCTTTTGAAAGAGACGGAGGGAAAATGGCTAGCGCTCAAGTTTTTTTAGGGAAAGGTGAAACATTCATGAAAGTTTTTGAAAGTAATGGCGAATTCTGTAGAAGTTTAAACACCCCTACTGAAAAGTAGGATGTACTTTTGGGTAGGTTGTGGGTAGGACTGGTTACAAAATGGGATCGTATTGACTTCCAAGCTTTCACTACGCATGACTCATCCTCGTGCATACCCATTGTCAATCATTTCGAATGTCTCATAAGCTCGACGTTACTGAAGCTTCCATTTTAACGAAAATGAAAAAACAGGCGCTGATCATTCCCTTTCTAGAAAGCGCTGTGCATTCTTTTTTTTTCAGCATCCTATTGACATTTGAATGCGATGGCTTATACAATGACTCATCCCGATGTGTAGGCCAGTGTTCTTATCCCTCAGATAAGTGGAGTTATAAATTACCAATTTAGAAGCATGAAGGCCTTGCTGGCCCGAGCGGCGGACGATGCAGCATTTTCCACTTACAAATTTGTGAATGATGTGGTTTTCTATCTTCACGTCACTCGGATCGATTCGGTAAAATTCACCTGTTAACGCCCCTTCTCTAGGGTTGGTCAGCAGGTTTTTCGCTTCAACTTTTCGTAACTCAGTCGAAAATGAATTCAGTAGCAGAGACCGCAAGTGCTGCGTCGCGCTTCTAACACTCAAATCTCGGCCCAGCGTTCGTCATCGATTTCTCCTCTCAGAATAGACGAAACGGCAACATGCCTCTCTGGATTGTTTCCTGTATCGGGCCCTCTTCGTTTTGCCACTCGCTGCAAATGACTCAGGCAAGATTCAGGATTGAATTGGTGA